ATCGGTCAGCTACTTATTTCTTTCTTCTTTTATTTTTTTTTTTTTTTTTTGTATTTCTTGAGAATCACTTTTATTCAATTCATTATCTCACAAGTAAGAGAAATAACTTGGTAATTTGTTCCTGATTCTTCAAATTAAGAAAACTTATATATACTTTTCAAATTATCATTTGTCGATATACCGTTTCAACATAGACTGAAACGCAAACAAGATGAAATCGAGATACGATCGAGATGTATTCTTTGTTAAAAGAAGATAAATCATCGAGAAAATTTCACGATTCGTATAATTTAATCATCTTTGGTGAAAATGTTGTAATAAATATTTATTGTTATTAAACGAGTTCGATAACGTTTGTACAGGCAACGAAGGGGACGATTGCGAACCTGACTATGACTGTGATGCGGATTACGAGGGTGATAACGTGGCCAGAAAGTTTCCGGACGAGGAGTGTGATAGGGACGTTGTTGGGAACACTTTAACCGTTCAGAGTATCATCCTCCAACGGTGAGTCTCCAATTGGACCCAGTTATATTGACCGATAAATATACAATATTTCCAATGAGCCACTATTGCTAATAACGTTGAATTGACAACGTAAAGCGAATAAATTTAGGTAAATAAGAAAAACTTTTTCTCTTAAATAGACTTTTATCGTGTATCTATATCTTTCATTCGAATAACATTTGTTTACATTGTTTTATTATATTTTAAATTTCGTTCTTTGATGATTTTTTGTATCTCGAACAACAGGTACCCAGAGTTGTTGAAACCGCCGGACACGTCGGAGTCGCTTTACAGCGACAGGAACTCCTCGTACGACAACGTGGAGAAGAGGAACGTGGAGAGGGAAGAGGCTGGAGACAGCAGAAAGGACCAAATCTATGACTCCTCCGAATGGGAGACGCCATTGGAGACAGACGAAAGTGACGTGGAGAGGATGAAGAGGAACAAGAGCTTCAAAGAGCGTTTGGATCCCCTTCTCTGTGAGTTTGCATTTGTATTTTATATCCCTTTACGAAAAAAAAAAAAATGTGGAAAAGCGAAACGAGATACAGAATTATTATTCACTGCGCTCTTCTTTCATCGTTCTACGAGATTAACCCTTCCGTATCGAACAATTCTAAATTTAGATACAATTATTTAATACAATTGAAAATATTTGAAATTCCTCACGAACAAATAAAACACAGTGGAGCACGCATGTAGAACATGTATTTGTGAAATTATTTATCGACAACTATCAGCATGACTCAAAGGAGCATCCAAGTGCATTGCTACGCGTGGCAAGTGTATCGGAAATCGCATCGAGAAGGTCACGACGCGAATGGCACAATAGCGACCGATCGATAAATGTGTCATAGGAAAAAATGTGCACGAAAAATGTTTGTAATATTGCGTCGTAACGAGCCGAGAAAAATATAACAAGAGATTTGATATATTTATATATCATATACATATATATATATATATATATATATATAATTCGCGGAATAAATACGATTCCTATACGATTTCGTCGATCGTTTCAGAAACGCTCGATGGATAATGCATAATCCGTCATTATGCTAATTATTATGCTCGCTTTTCGTCTGGAAGTAGAGATAAGAGGATAAGAAGTCGATTATAGTTTCGAGATGATCTTTGTCTCCGACGCTTTTATTGTTATAGAAGTTTATCGAAAAGTTTGTAGAAATTTGAAGTTGCGTACATTTGTTTGAGAATGGAAATCCAATAGATGAAAATAGGAAATTGAAAAATTTAGGAAAATAAAAAAAAGTGGATAGATAAAAAAATAGAAAGTTGGAAAATTAAAGTATTGGAAGATTTGGAAATTTTTTTTGAGGAAATTTAAAAATTTGGAATTAGATTTCAACGATCAATTAATGATTTAATAATTAATGAGTTAAAACATGAATTAATTGATCTTGATAGAATTGTTATAAATTTTTGTTATTCAATTAACTGTGAATAATAACAACAACGAATGAAAACAAATTTTTCTAACATGCATTATAACAATTTCAAACATTCTATTCGCATTATTGCTTTGCGAATCTATTCTATACATTTTCCATAGGATAATAAATGGAACAAAAGATTTAGAAAGTTGGGTAAAATTTAGAATTGGCCGTCCCTTGGACTCGAAATTATCCAAGATACAAATGTGGCAAATAAAGCCTTCAATTTATTTCAAAAATCCAGCTAGTCCTTTGGATGGAAAATAAAGATTCTTCTCATTTCTTCAATGGACAAAATAATGGAAAATTTCAATAATTGTAAAAGAAAAATAATTTTTACAATCAATACTAGATAAAAAAATATTGAAAAAAAAATAGTAGACATATAATTAATTTGTTATTAAATCATCGAAGCAGAAATCAAGAGAATTTGCGGATATAGTAACAATTTGTAACACGATACAGATCGATGACAGATCGACGTATCTCGGTACATCTGATCGTCAATCATTCACGTGAACATCCAGTGACACGTGGAAACAAAGATTCGGATTGAAAACCACACGGATTGAAATCGCAATCCGTCGCGTAGAAAATCAATTCCAACTAGTTTTGGCCGTTGATTATCTTCGTCTACTTCGATTCTTTTGTCCTCGTCTTCTTTTGTTTGGTATCGACAGGTTTATCATTCGAAGGATTAATTTAAAAGAATTAGCAAAAGTTTTCCATTTCGTTTATTTGACAGTATATTTATTGAATTATTTCTCTCGTTCAATTTCTAAACAAAGAATAACGATAAAAATTTCTATTAAAAAAAAATTTATATTCTTCTCTATTAAATTACGTACAAAAGGATAAATTAATTTAGCTATATTTTCCTATCAGAAAATTGAAACATGAAAATTTTTCGCTCTGCATAAAGTGCAAGAAACCATATATAAACCATATAACTTTCTTGTTACGAGTTGCGGGCTTTGAGCGTTCAAGTTGAATTTTCCAAAGTTTCGCGAAACTGTCGATGATAGTTTCATCTTTGAGGGAGATTTACATCGAACGGAACAGCCTATAAAGCGAACGATAATGGCTGGCTTTGCCTAGCAAATTGGAATAGTTTACGAGGTGTCGGTCGTTGAAACGGCAAACTGTCGCTTGTTGTCATCGTTCCCTAAATTCGAGTGGTGCATTTGTTCGAGGGGTTGTTTAATAGCCGGCTATGAAATATAATCACCGAGAATAATTTCAACGATCGTTTCACATATTTCGCGAATATTTAGTCAACTGATTGTTTAATATAATTTTTAAAAATCGATAATATAAATATTTTTATATTAAATAAAAAAAAGAACAAGTACTGTGTAATAGCAATTGCATCCTGCCTCTTCCCTTCGCATCCAAAACTATAAAACTTCGACTGAATAATTATTTTACGATCTCTTGTACGGATTGTAGTGTTTCTCGAGAGATCGATCCTTAATCTTCAGGGCCATCAGGAAAGGGATCGTCAAAGGACCATTGAACTTTCTCTTCTTTCTTTCCAAATTTTTGCCTTCCCTCCCTACCAACGCAATGTGACAGAGGCTACCTTTCTCGATAGCGCTGTCCATTGTTCAGTGTCAATCAATCCATCGTCGGTGCAGCTTCATCGAGACTCGGTCATCGGAACGATTCGAACACTCTCTGCGATGAATCTTCTGCGAGTGTCTTCTGAGAAGTTCGATCGATAAATAGTGTTTGCAAAATTTTCAACGTGATATATGTATATATATATTTTTTTTACAATCTCATTTTAAAAATTTAATCACAGATTTGCAAGATGTCGGAGAAAAATTTTTCAGTGATATCGACGGATAAATGTTCGATTTTTAGAAGATGATATATAGTGTAAGGGGAGAAAAAAAAATATATTTTATTTATTCGAATTATATTCGAGTTTTCCCCAAAAGAAAACCAATCGAAATTCATAATTTGTCTCGTCTCAAAAGCTACAAAAAGGTACGATACTTCTCGAGAAAATTTTTCCCGTGATATCTACCCGTAAGATTCCACAGTAGCCGAGAAAACCGGGAGGGCTTAAGCATCCTGATCTGTCTGGGATTTTAATAATTTTATAAAATTATTCTCAAGTCCGATAACCCTCGCGAAGCAGGGTTCTTCGCCTCGAAAGCTCTTCCACAGATAAGCCAGCCCGATTTTCAACTCGGATAACTCGGATAGCTGGGAAAAGAATTGCGAATGGAGAGCAGATCCACTTGCGATCTCTCGATGAAGCGTCCAATTCTGTAAAAAGATCGTTAAGAGATGAAAATTGGAAAATTTTTCCATTCGAGATATGGATAAATATTAAAATTAAACGCAAGCGATCGAGAAAACGTTTTAATTCTTTAGATGTTAATCAAATGATCGAATAAATTTTTTGAAAATTATTATTTTTATTTATAAGCAAAATTTCGTTGATCGAAATTTTGATCGACGTGTATTTACGTAAATTGAGAATTTGAAAAGAGATTTGAAGAGCAAAGCAGTATTATAGTTTTAAGCAAAGATGAAGGAACGTAGCCTGAAATTCTGGCAAATTTGGAAGGTTAAGAGCAAAGTGATCAATTGTTCGGTCGAAGTGGAAACAAAGCAGAAATTCTTGAAAGGGAGGAATATTTTACAAAGTATAACTAGATGGTTCCAATATATTTACAAGAAATTGCAAAATAGCATTGTAATCTTCAAGTGTAAGTGAAAATTTTTAGTGGCATGAAAATTTATTATCATTCTCCCTTTGTTTATTAATTTTTTTACGTTTATAAATTTAAATTCTTCTAACTTTGTTAAATTTTTACATTTTTTTTGTTATATATCGAAAAATATTCAGAAAATTTGAAGAGACATCCTCTATTTGCATAATTTCTCTCCGAAAAATTATCACGTGAATGTTTGTCAATAATGAAATAGAATCAAATTATTATCTTTATAACTGCGTGTACAGATAAAGTCTATTTGCAATGTTTTAACATGCTTCGGTTATTTTAGAATTCCATGTACTATTAGTAGTTCGGTAGACATAAGATAACGTGTTGCGATACCAAATGCTTATTTACCAAGTTATCGAATTAAAAAACTTTGAATTGAATTTCTTAAATATCGGTATCAAGTTACATTCCCTCCAGCGAAACTACAATGTTCATTCTTCATCCATTATCTGTTATCTAAAATACTATTTCAACATTTGCTCTCTTTATGCTCGAGACTTTATCGATGTCTCGGTCAATATATATATGCTCTCACTTCTATCGATAAAATTAATTAAAATTAATCGCAAACTGTCACGGTATGAAATAATTATCGTCCCAAATTCAATAAGAATCAACAAAAATTACGAAATAATCTTTTAGAAATTTTAAAATTTTTTTTAAGATTTTTAAGAAACCTTCCAAGATTTATCATAAGATTTTATATATCGAGATTTCCGTAATTATTTCCCCTCATAATTACTTAATCCAATCATTGTATCATTTCTTCGTTATAAACAAATCCTTCTAATCCAATTTTTTTTTTCTGTTTGCAGCCCCTCCAAGATTGCAAGCCCTTAGAAACCGTGACAATGGAGGTACAGGCTCGAGCATAAGGTCATACGCCCTTCAATTAGCAGCGGACAAGACGACCACATTCTCCCAAAACATTGACAATTTTATCCAATGCACGAAGGAAGGGAAAGAAGCCAGCCCACACGTGGTGATGAGAAACATGCGACAATTTATGTCTGGAATGAAGAACTACTTGGTGAAACATGGTGAAAGAGAATTCGAGAAAGAGGTGGAGAAAGAAAGGCTGAAGCTGAAGCCAAACGAATTCTTGAATTTGGACGCTATTTTAGAAGGCGTGATGATGGGCTTAGTGGTGAGACCGCTCAGAGAACACGTTTATAGACTGTTTGTCGAGCATTACGCGGCTACTGGTTCATTGCAAACCCTCGCCGAGAGCATCCAGCACGCCCAGGGGAAACACGTTCAGGATCTCGGTGTTCGAGTCAGTAACCGTTTGTAGAAATGTTCATTGCCTGCCAAATGGGAGTTGTTCTAGCTTACCTCGTAATCGTGGCCACTTCTATGAGGGTAGTTGTGGCTAGTTTTCACTGATTGCTCTAGAGTTTTAATGAAAACAAAATGGAGGAAAGAGAATAACAATTTTATTTATCTTTATTTATTTTATTCATTTTATAAGAGAATAAAAGTAGGCTTTGATTTTAGCTCGGTAAATTTTGAACAATAATGAATCCTCTAACTATTCTTACTTGTCTATAGTGTAGAATTTGGTGTTTTCTTAATTTTTTTTTAAATAACTTTATTGTAAGCTAGAATAATTTATAGAAGATAATTATTAATTTAATCATTAATCTTAAAATGCAAATTTATAACATTATTGATTGATTTATAGCCAAAGATTATACCCCCATCGGAGTCGAGTTTAGAGCGGATCCTCAAATACATTGATCGTCTTCAAAAAGCGGATTCGCCTCTAGACAAATTGGAAAATCTTCTAGCAGCCATTTCAGCGATTTTCAACTCCGTAAGTCGCGATGCAATCTCTTATCGTGTAAAGAAGAGAGATTTAAACGTTATTAATTATAATAATTTTTCAGGTAAAGCACGCAAATTCTGGCAGACACGTAACGCTGGGCGCAGACGATCTTCTTCCCCTTCTAGTTTGGGTATTGGTTCGTGGCAAGGTTGTGGACGCTGAGGTGGAAGCTGAGTACATGTGGGGTTTGCTTCATCCCTCTCTTCTCACTGGTGAAGGGGGATATTATTTGACGACCTTGTCCAGCGCAGTTCACGTTTTGAAGACGTTCAAGTCCAGCCAGGGAACGATGTCCACTTTAAATGTAAGTGATTTTGCCGATGCTGGTCTCTGAAACATTACAATAAATTTCAATAATTATTTATTATGCGATATTAGAAGTGCAATGCAAAGTTTTGTTATTATATTTTTTTTAAACAATTATTATTTGGATTTATCAGGGTTGTGGAACACCAGACTGTTCATCCGTACTACGAATTTTAGTACCAGATGAACTGCATGGATCCCTGAACACCAGAACGCTACCTGTACGACCAAATATGAACACCAGAGAGATTTGTCGCATTCTCGCACATAAAATCAGATGCACCAATCCTCAGGACTATGGATTGTTCAAATTGGTCCAAGGGGAAGGTAAGAATTCATCAGAATTATACAATTCCAATTTAGAATTTAGAAGAAATAATTTACAAGAGGTTTTTTATTTTATTAACACATTTATACAAATTCTTTAATATTTTTTAAATGGATATGTAAGTTTTTATTTTATAACATTAAATGTTTTATTCATTTTCAAAATATCTATTTGAATAAAGGCACGACGTGCAATTAATATAAAAAAATTAGAAAATTAAAAGATTAATTGAAGATTTATGAAATAGTAACTAACTACAAAGCTGTAGAATTAAATAATTAGAAAAAAGCTTTAATTCTACTACTAGTATTTACTAACCTCTATTATTCTAGATAAAACACATTGAAGAAATACTATATTATTTCATTGTTTTGTGTTATAGAAACCTTACTCGGCGACCACGAGTGTCCACAAGAGCTCTCTCACTGCCTTTTCGCTTACAAGCGGATTGACGCAAAGATAGCCTGGCCGAAAACCAGTTCTTAATAGGCCTTGCGAATAGAAGGCTACTTAGGGGAAACGATATCGATTTCGTGGTGACAAGGCTAATAAATTTGAAGCACCTGTCTTTATTGTTATTATTAGTTTCGTGCTAGCACCGTGTTTTTTTTCAATTGTTTCATTCTTTATATCTTTACACGTATATTTGAATGGAGTATCGAATTTTTCTCAATCTCGAGCATAAATCTTTTAAAATGTATACTGCCAGATATAGCTAACTTTCGACTGATCACTGTAAAAGAAGAAGAAATTGAAAGCGACCAAGGTTTAATTTAAGAAAAAAAGGCGATGAATAACGTAGATCTATACTCTTATTATGTATCCGATATTTAAATTATTGTAATCGTCATCATTATATTGGTTATTTCTTAATATTAAAAAGTACTGCCCATTTATATATATGATTAATTTCAGAAAACAGATATTTTTAGCTGCGACGATCCAAAGATATTCTAAATTATGTAGCTAGAGAGAGTGATTAAAGTGCAATCTAGTAGTGCAATGTCTAGCTAGAAACGATCTCAAAGAATGATTTTATTGAATGCAGCTGAAAAATCCAATCGAAATGGCAGAATGCGATCGAATGAACAATATTCAATCGCATTTAATTTACTTGCAAGCAGGTGCTAGAGAATCGAATCGGGGAGCTTTAACTTCGCGCAATTCGGTTCGTTTGTTAACACTGAATACGAGATCGAATAAATTTCCGCCAAACGACCGTTTCTCCTTCGTAAAAATATAAAAACGAAGAAAAAGAATCGTGTATTACTCAGTATTCGATATTTTGCGAAACTCTACGATAACGAAGTTACTAATTAAGTCTCATTAGTAAAATAGGATTCGAATCGAAGGGGTTACCGAAAATTTTTCACATTAGAAAAGAAAAAAGACAAAATTTTTAGTCTTTTACTTGGAAAAAATAAATTATAAGTATTCTTCCACTTCGAAACCTACTTTACAAGAGGATATTATACGTTTTTTACGGGATGAAATCTCTAAAATGGAACAACCAAATGTCTCTCTCATGTTTTTAAATTTTATTGCAAATAATATTACGAAATGAAGTTATAGATATAGCTATTATTATTTTAATATTTTAATTTTTAATTATTTTTATCCAATAATTTTTATATTTTATAATTTAATTCTGTTTCCTAATATTTTATTATAAATAAATAATTATAATATAAATAATTTTTGAACAATTTTATCTTGAATAAATTATTTATATATATATATGTATATCAAAAAAGAAAAAAAAGGGACATCTGGATGGTCTCTGTTAGGGATGATTCAAGCCTAAAGTATAATCGAATAAAAATTATAGGGAATCATTTCCCCTCTTGATACAAATTTATTATTAGACTTAGAAGCACGGAAAGCTAGTTTAGACTCTATTTTAAGTACTTTCTTGACGAGACGTTGGCGGATTATACAAGCAATTTATACTTTTAAGCGGACGTCGCATATTTATTGGAAAAGTTGTACACAATATTTTACTATCATCATTCATCGGATATTTTCTTTTTTTTTTGTCGCGCGAGCGCGTGTCGCTTCTTCCTTTTTTCGAAAATCTGCCAGGCTGATTTGCTTACCTAATATTATTATTATTATTATTATTATTATTATAAAAGGCTGTGGAACTAATTAATCTCACTTCAGAAATGAGTAATAAAATAATGACCAGAGTTCGATTATGTTTGTTTCCGGGGCTTGTATGGGAGATGAAGGGGAAGGGGGGATAAGTCGTGGAGCAAATATTTTACTACTGAAACTCTCGTACAAATCAGCCTTGCAATTGTTATTATTATCTTAATAAGAAAATAAGAAAAAAAAAAAAAAAACGAAAAAAAGGTGAAAAATAACACGATGTGTAGCCCTCGATGATACGTGTAATGATAATAATTATTAGCGATTTATAAATGTACATTTCTCCTTTATATATGTCGTACCTAATTTATTACGAAGCGAATTTTTAATACCCGTGTAATGTCGTAATTAATAATCCCCTTCAGCATTGAACGTGCTTTTCGATTTCCCCCGAATTCAATTGATTACGATTAATCGTAACGTTAATGCTTCTAATATGCTAGTCAAGCCGATACAAATCAGAAGTTCGTAAAAGAATACCCTCTTCTTATTCTCTATTTTCTCTCTCTATTTGTCCCCTTTCGTGAATAATCGTAATATCTCACGTGATAGTTTCCAAGTTTTTTGAAAAAGAAAAAAAAAAATATCATTGATTATCAATTATGCTCATCTTTATTACCGATTATCGATTATTATTAATATTGTAACGTGTAACACTATGCTCAATAAAAACTTTTCTATAATTTGAACAAGTGGATGGAATAATGCTAATGGTGATCTAATGAATAATTACGTAATAAAATTTCATACGCAATATTTATACTTTTTTTGTTTTTTTTTTTTTTTTTTTTACATTATTTGAATAACTGACCGTTTAAAAAAAAAAAAAAAAATTTTTTTTTTTTTTTTTAATCTTCCGTTTTTTAAATTAATGAAAAAAAAAAAAAAAAATTTTTTTTTTTTTTTTTAATCTTCCGTTTTTTAAATTAATGAAAAAAAAAAAAAAAAATTTTTTTTTTTTTTTTTAATCTTCCGTTTTTTAAATTAATGAAAAAAAAAAAAAAAAATTTTTTTTTTTTTTTTTACATTAATTGAATAACTGTACGATTAAGAAAGAACAAAATAGATTTCTTTATTCAGAATAATTATACGATTTAATAAAAAGTTAAAGATATGTTATTATATTTGCATTAAAATTTGCATAAAATTTTTCATTTTGGTATTATAAAAGCGCGTACTCGTGTCGTCTGACAATTAAAATGTCTGACAAAATATTATCGATAAACAAGCTGTCGATATTTATAACTACGTTTTAACGTTATAAATAACTTATCCAATCCTATCAGCTTATGGTGTTGAGAATGAGATAATTGTACTTACTATATATGATTTTTAGGCTTGAATTTTTACTAAAATCAAAAAAGTGATACTGTAATATTAAATATACGATAAAAAGTTTATATTACAAAAGCATAAAAAATTAACAAAAAAAATAAAATCAAAAAAGTTTAAAATGGGAAGCTAAAAAATACAAAATCAAAGAAAACAAACTAAAATTTATTAGCAACGAAATTTTAATAAAATCCTAAAACATGATTACAACATTGTTTAAAAATGCATATTTTTTAAAAGATTCTTTGCAATAAAAAATATTTGCATGCTTTCCACGCGAAGGAGGCAGATGAACAAAAGGGAATTACAAGTGGAAATATTTATTATAAATCAAAACTTACATATTATTTAAATAACAGTACTTGCACCTGAGAGCTACAATACCTTAAATATTTTAAAGAAAAAAAGCAACTACTTTAAACGAGTAAGTAAACATTAAAAATCTTATTTCTAATATTTCTCTTTCATGTATATTTCTTGATTATAAAGTATAATCGATCATTCATCAACTGTGCTCTATATATTTAATGTCACTTAGGATAAAAAGATAAATTTCCTGAAAGTAAAAATAAAAAAAAGAAAATAGTAAAATCTCCTTTATACTACAAAATTATTAAAATATCTAATAAATAATAAAAATATAAGATAAGAAAGTAAAAATTACACGTATTTCTTTTGTTACTTTCTCAAAGATACATATGTGTTAAATTAAAAATAAATCTCCAATAAAATTTTTTACTAAACACATTTAAAACACTATTTAAAATTTTTTTACCAAACATCAGAATATAAATTAATTAAAAAATTCATATTATACATTCGCTACTAATATAATTATTTCTTGTTCAAAAATTATAGTAAAAATTAAAGTGATATACATATACATATACACATATATAGTGCAAATTTATATAAAGAATCTTAATTTAATTGCACATTGATTGCACTTAAAAACTTCATTAAAATTCAGAATTTGGTATTGTAGAAAAATTACTTTTTAAATGCGCTATTTTAGTGCTAATTAAAATACAGAAAAGTAGAGTAAGTAGAATTTCTTTCTCCATTAGACACAATTATAAAAAGAAAATGTAAAATATAAAGCTGAATAAAAACTACTAATTCTAGGCCTTCAAGCTCTCAGGCGCAGAATATGATAGCGTATATCAATAAATGCATGTTTTTTTCAGGGTAATGAGAGCACACATGAAAATCAAATAAAAACATGTACTATGAGAATGAAGAAAATTAACGCTAGAGGGGAAAAATGATTACTTAAAAACGACTAAGAATCATCATCGATGGACGCAAAACTAAATACCGAGATTGTATCCGTAGTCTCGAATAAAAAATGAAACCTCGCCTCGCGATCAGCAATTGCACGTAATCGAAAACGAATCATCATCATCGCTACGACTGTAAATGATTAATATACACCGATATTTCGAGGTGCAATCTTAAATCTTTTGAACTAGGCCAGTCCAATGGAACTCACGTTACATATATTTTTGTTCATAAGCGAAATTTTTTTTTTTCTTTTTTAAACTTTTTCTTAATTATTCAACATATACATGTGAATATAGTTTAGATATTAGAAGAATATTGAACAAGCAAGCAGCCATTGTAAAAAGTTACTTTTTTTCTTCATTTTGTTTGATTATTCTAATACAACAAGTATTATATAATAATTAATCGGTAACATTCTGCAAGATTATTTCATTCGTTGTTATCAAGCAATAATGGAAATATCTCATAACAGATTACTCTCGCTACTTTCTGTCATAATATTTCTAAGCACAATTATAATTGCTTTCCATCAACAATTGTGCTATGGAAGCAATTATAATTACAACATTAATTAATTATTAATTATTATTGCAATAATGATTTCCATGCTTGTATTCAACGAGTGGTTAGAGCAAACCATATCACCAGAGTAACTGAATGTACTGTCAGACAATATAAATCAGCAATATTACGTTCGAAACAGAAACGTGAGATCTTAACTTGAACAAAAAATAAAATCTACTAAGGACTCGACTAATTCAAACGATCATCATTCTGCGTCGTCGTAACTGTTCAAACGATCAAATAATTTCAGACTCAGTTTTTAATTCACAGCCGGTTACAATATGATTCTTGGCTTTTAAAAGCATACGATGTTTAAAGCGGAATATACAAATTTGTCAAAAGACGAATTCTCGTTTTTGCGCGTTTTAATAAAAGTGACTACAGAAAAAAAGAAAAAAAGAATGAAATTTTTCTTTCTTTCTCTTCAAAATAATTTAAATAATTACGATCTTATAATACAATATATGTATAATAACCATCATGCTTGCACTGATCGTCGTATGTACTGCTGTATCGTCGTTTAAACAACGGATCGAACGCAGAGAGAATAAATTAAATATTTGCGAATACGTTAATATATAAGTACTTAAATGTACAATTATAAATAGGGCGGAGAAATCAACGTGGCCGGAAAGATAAATCTTTTCCAAATATTGGTTATTCTCCGCATAAATAAATTCCGAGAGACAAAAATGAAAGGGAAAGCGCTGTTCTCCCCCTTCTAGCTTGTTACACTCTTTTAATATGACGATGAATATACTCGCATTATTCTAACGTGCACGGTGTATGTGTGTCTCTCTGTGTATGATGTGTAGGAATACATTCAATAATGCTAAGCGACATACAAATGTTCCTTCTATGTTTAAATGTGAATGCTTTTTTTCATCTGATTTTTATCGAACTTTGATAAAGAGAAGCCTAGAACTCGTGGAATGATTACACATTGTCACGTTACTTCAATTATGGTATAATGAACCAAACTGAAAAGGATATGTATACGACTTGATTAGATGCATGTAGATGCCAATAGCGTATACTATACAATGCGAAGAAAGAATTGAATACATGACGGTTTTTTTTTCTTTTTAGGTCAATAATATAATTGCTTG